GGAGTCTTGGGGACAAAATCTGCGATATTTAATATTGAGAGTATCACTATAAAAAATGCTGCAAACAAAAGGATGAACGTATATTTCTCTAAAGAGAGAATAAATAAACTTATAAGCAAGTTTCAAGACTACCATTAACTCTGATAAAAAGACTGATAAGCACCCCTAGCGAGACTTAAACTGAAATAGAGCGTATAATATACAAAAGCTAACTGCTAAACAACGCTGACATGGGTGCCATTGGGTCACAAGACCCTCCCCATTTCACATTTCTGTGGTGAGATTAGCGACAAACTAAGTTTTATTTGCTATAAAAATCGACTACGTTACTTATTTTTCGTATCAAAGATGGGTTTTGTGGACTACAGATAGATCTTATATGAAAGCTGTATTCACCATGTTGCGTTTAAGGTGATGAAGGATTATGAACTGTGTTATTCAGGTCCTAATCCAGTGAGGGTATTGATGAGAGCTAGGTGAGATTAAAACTAAGGCCTATTCTGGATAAGAATACATTTTAGAAAGCAAGGATTTATTAAATTCAATGAAACATGAGGCCTATTCATATGAGTTTTGGGAAATTAAAAACCTCTAACACCCTAAACGAAATAGGAATAGAGCTCATATATATAGGTTTAATATTCGACCAATCAAAGTCAATCATTTTTGGTAATTAGATCGAGTGCATAGACAAAGAATACTAAATGAGAGCCATGGCAATAATAATTTTAACGAACCGAGTTGCGAAAAAGAGAGCAGATGTTAATTATCTGCTTAATAGCTGGAATCACGCTTGTATCATCGGGATCTGCCAGTTTCAATATGCTTAAAAGACGAAGTAGCCAGTCCAATTTGTTCGAGTCCACTTGCTCCTGATAAAAATAATAATAAGAAAAAGGGGCCTGATAAATAGAAAAAAATAGAATAATATAAAAAGTTGTTTGACCTTGTTTTCGCAACTTGATCATATTGGTAGGAAGATATAGAACGCACCTAGTCCGGAGTCTATTGTATTCATGATCATTTCCAAAGTCGGACCGTGGACGTGATACATTCCCAGACGTTTCGCCGACATCGTCAGTGAGTATCGCCATTCTTAGCACCACACAACAACTCGTCAAAGAACAAAGTGAAGCCGATCCTTTGAGCAAATATGTTCAAAACAGTTATGGTATCTCCCCTTCTGCCATAGGCTATTTACATTTCCTATATCCTCCGATCACGCCATCACCGTTACAAATTTTACTGTGCTTATTTAGATGTAGTGCGGTGTGCTCCTTTGAGCGGCATTCATGAAAACCCTCCACATTTCACGCTGTCGTTCTCACCCCCTGGAAATATTGATCAGTTAGCCATATTGTTAAGCATTCCTCCTTCCCTAGGTTTTATCATATTCTATCTCTTGCCCCGTAGGATCCATCTGCACTCTCCCTGATTCAAGTATTTCAACCCACCCTTGCCATCCCATCTGCGCTACTCGAGGCGTTATTATTAATCTTCTGCGTCTGGGTTACTAATTCGAGGCTAAAGCCTTTAAGCAGGTCTAATTGTCAAGTATTTACTTGATTGACGACGTCTCTGGCAAAACAGGCCTTCTGTCAGCCAACTAGCTCCATTCTCCGCCGTGTCTATCCTGTTTCTATGCCTAATACCAAGTCTATAACTTTCTATGCCCTAGTCTCTTGTGTGCTAACCCACAAATGTTGTGGTACTGCTTGCTTTGATTAGGTTCAATGT